CTGTGGAATATATACAGTATGGATGGTCTGGAAAAGAAGAGAATGAAATGCTCTACATTAATCACTTTGTTGTTCCAGTCTGGATCAATATGAATCTGGATAAGTCTTCATATAAAGGGAAAAAGGAAGACCTCAACAGCCCCTACAGATACCATGGACACTTGAAGCTTTGCCAGTTGGGATATCCTGTAGTCCTGGTGGACCTTGATCCTGGTTAGGTGAGTTATTAAGAAATGCCCAGTGTTGCATTGCTCCAGAATGGGATTTCAGTTCACATCATACCCTCTTCTATCTAGGCTGCTGTTGCTTGGTGCCATTTTGATATGAAATCCAACCGTACTCCACCTCCACTGATGTGTGCAAGACAGCTTTCCAGGTCACTGGATTGGCTCTATCCTTGCACATCCCATTAACACTGGCACATGCACTCTGACTGCCATGGATGCATACTGCCCTACACCTGTGTGGGCTCCTGGGTGTGGGCATGCACTGAGCAACACTGCTGTATATATCAACTCTACCTGGGCTGCTAGTGTCCCTACTCCTACAGGCCCTACAGTGACAGATGGGTTTTCTGTTTCCACTGCTATGCACACCTCCCTAAAGCCACTGATTACAGCTAAAGAAGTTCTATGGAAGTTACACTTCCCTACTAAACAAACCCAATATAGGATACTAAACAGACACCCTACAACCATCAGTAAGAGCATGCAGATCCCAGTGAGAAGCCTGCATGGACCAGAGCAGTGTGGATGAGCAGGTCCCAGCCAGGGCCCTGCCTAGATACCAGGAGCTTGGGCCCACAGGCCCCAGCAAAGGCCTTCCTAGAAAAGAGATGTGCAGGCATGAAGGCAACAGCCAGAGGCCTGCCTGGATACCATTGGTAAGTGCACACAGACACCAGGCAGAAGCCTGCTCAGACACCAGCAACTCGGGTGCACAGCCCCCAGCCAAAGGCCTTCCCAGACAACAGCTACACAGGTGGGCAAGCCCCAGCCAGAGGCATGCCCAGATACCATCCCAAGTATGTGCAGGGCCCAGCCAGAACCCCACTTGGACAACAGCACAGCAGAGGAATCCAGAAGGCCACCACTCTGAACCCAGGAATTGGTGCAGGGGTAAGCAGCAGAGAAAAGCCCACTGCATGGCTTGTTGAGAATTGAAGACCACTGAGTGAGCAGAAAGTTGCCTCAACAAAGGCTCAGCAGACTGCATTTGTTGAAATGAAAAGACGTAAACAAATTTCAAAACCAGAGTTCTAGATCACCTAAGGCAGCTCCAAAGGGTAAGGAGATGGAACAGTCTGATACTCAACAGCCTGTACTCCCTGAACTGGCAACAAAAGAGGATCTGGAAAAATGAAATAATTTTTCAGCTAACAACAGAAATGTCCATAGTGCAAGACATGATTAATAACTCTAGAGCAGACACAAATAAAAAAAATAGAGAGCTGAGGAACATGATGGAATCCCAACATAGGAAACAAATTGAATCCATAAAACAAATGCAGACAGATATCCAGGAGATTAAAAACTCCACTGAAAGTTTACACAGCAGAATGAGCCAATGTGAGCACAGAATATCAGATATAGAAGATAGGATGGCAATTCTTGACCAGGAAAAGAAAAAATTCTTAAAAATAGTAAGGGACAACAAAAAAAATCAATCCAGTAGCTACCAGATAATGCAAAGAAGAATAGCATAAGACTTACCAGAGTCAATGAAGAAACAGGAGAGAGTGCAAATGACATAAAAAAATTGTTTACAAAAGTAATGGCAGAAAACTTCCCAAGCAGGGGAAAAGAATTTGACATGCAGATAAGTGAGGCATATAAGACTCCAACTAGCCATGATCAAAACAGACAAGCAAAAACTACACCTAGGCATATAATAGTTAAGATTCCAGAAACCCAACAGAAGAACAAAATCCTACAAGCAGTTAGAGAAAAAAAACAAATCACATATAAAGGAAAGCCCATCAGAATCACAGCAGACTTCTCAGTGCAAACTCTCATGTCAAGAAGAGCTTGGAGTGACATATTTCAAGCCCTAAAGGAAAACAACCTGCAACCCAGATTGATGTAAAACTATCTTTCAAAATTGATGGAGAAATAAGATACTTTCATGACAAAGAGCATGTGAGGAACTTCATGAATACCAAACCAGCACTCAAAAATTTTTAAACAGTATCCTAGGAAAAGATAATGAGGATCAGAACCCCAGGAAGCCCAGCAGAATGAATCCATCGGGCACGACAAGAAATGAAATGCAAAGGGGGAGAATCCAACAAAAAGAAAAAGTCATGACAATGATAAGTCAGTATGTATCAGTTATAACCATCAATGTTAATGGTCTCAACTCACCAATCAAAAGAAATAGACTGGCAGAATGGGTCAAGAAGCAAGATCCAACAACATGCTGCATACCAGAAACAAACTTAATTCAAAAAGAAACTCATAGACTGAAAGTTAAAGGGTGGAAAACAATACTCCATGAAACAGGAACCCGAAAAAAACCAGGAGTAGCTATCCTCTTTGCTGATCAAATGGATTTCGAACCAACATTAACTAAGAGACAAAGAAGGGGACTACATTCTTGTAAAGGGAACGATCCAAGAGGAAGAGATGACAATCATAAATATATATGTACCAAATACTAGTGCACCCAACTATATAAAACAAATACTAATGGACAGGAAAAATCAAATAAGCACTAATACAATAGTAGTGGGTGACCTCAATACTCCACTGTCACAAATAGATAGATCAACTAGACAAAAAACAAGCAATGAAAATAGACTAAATTGGGAAACAGTAGGTATGGTCTTTAGTGTGACACGGAGAGCTTCCTTCCAAATTGGCCCAAATTTACTATGCTACCATTTGAATAATGTACAGATTCATTGAATTATACTCTCGTTCCCTCTAGGTTATCATGATGACCACAAGGGTATCTAGGAAGACCTTTGTTTTGTTGTTGCCCAAGGCTACTGCACCTACAATTGTTTTAGAATCCTCCAGTCTTATAATTCTCATCAGAAATGGAAATGAGGCATTCAGAGATGATTCATAGACAGCTTGGCTCATGCTGACACCTGCAGACTGTCTAGTTCATTGTATTTTAAGTACTTTCAATCTAGTCCTTTAAAGATCCACTGAGGTTCCACGCTGGAGAATATATTTGAGACCACATCTTCCACCTAATTAAAAAAATTAAAATGACATTTGTTTGTCTGGTGTGTTTCTTCAAAGATCATTGTTCTTTCAGTAATTTTCATTATCCTTCATGGGATAACATAACCTCATTGTAGGGAGCTGTCGGCTCTCTTAAAATGACTTTGCCGAGATCTTGATTTAATTGCTTTTTCTACTTTCTTAGTCTGAAATTATTCACCTTCACTGAGAAGAAAAAGAGACAAAGGTTTATTTTTGGTGTTCACAAATTATAATTAGCTCCTGATCCATCATAAGTATACAACATTTTGTATTACTCATAAACAGGTTTTGTAAACAACAGCTATTGAGGCATTAGCCTTTGTGTATCTCTGCATAGAGGTATGTGCCCTTTTTTTTTTTACTCTCCTTGTTTATTGACCACATTCTCCCTAACTTGTACACATTTAAGTCATTAGTGAGCTTGTGAAAAAGCAGTCTGTGTAGCTAAGTTGCATTTTCTAGAGCCTTTATCTCTTTCTTCCTTATGGAGAAATCACAATCAGAATTTAACTTTAACCTCTTGAGCTGCCATTGAATTATATTTTCCTTTGTAACTCAATCCCAGACATTTTAGATGTGGACAGTATTCATCTTTTCCTTCCCAGATGGTCATCCAGGCACACTTTTCTCCCAGGGCACCATTATTTTCATTTCACCAAAAAAGTCCTCCTTGTTTGTAAGACTTAGGTTCAGAGTTGAAATTCCTCTGGTCATTCCATCTACTCCTTAGGAGATGAAGTTGTCATTGTATCAAGCCAAAAGTCAATCAAGAATTAATTTAGCTGAATGAGACCCTTAGTAAATGTCTGAATATTTGCAGTCCTATCATTACTCTTTATTTTATTACACCAAATTCTTCCTATTGGTTCCTGTGAAAGTGTATTTGTTCATGCTATCTTCTAATCACAGGTTTACTTCTTCTATAAGCTATAGTCTGTGTTGCTGTGAAACACCTGAGATTGTGAGACTGTGAGAATCATGTATGACCCATGTCTCAATTATAATTCCAATTGAAATGATTTGGCACCATGCTTGCTTTGTCATTTTTGTTTCTACGTGGTTTAGAAAAGGATTGCTTACCTGTGAGAAATGAGAACCTACTTATGATAACTTAAACTAAGAAAAAGCCATTTGATAAGAGATATAGGCACATGTTGTAGAACATGTGACCAGGGAGAATAGCTAGGCTCCATAAGGAACTGACATCTGGATTGTTGAGAATTGATAATGCTTTTTCTGTGCTTCTCGAAGTGTGTCTGCACCATTCTCCAGGTTCTACAGTCCAGCATTTTTATAGTTTAGCATGAACATGGCAGGAAAAGATGACCTTGGCATGAATACACGTGACTTTCCAGATCAAGTGACCAAGCCCCAAAACTCAATCTTGGTATCCCTACTTTAGGTTCTCTCTCACATCTGATTATCTTAGCTTGGCCTGTGACTTACTATCTTTGGTGTCACAATACCACTCCTGGTCCAGTCACGTGGAGCTCAAGGGAAATGGTCCCTTGATGCCAACAGACAGTGAATAATAGGTTTTCTAGAGAGGTGTGAGGGTAGAGCAGAAATCATTTGGTATTTCTGACATCTTACACTCTAATTGGTGCTATAGGTGTATTTCTGTTTTTAACTTCATTTCGTGGCAATCATATTAAATAGTTGCTAGCCAAATACAAGCTTACACCTTTGGGCTCAGATATATTCTCATCTTAGACATGAGTCTTTCATTCCAATATTTTAAACCATTTTTTAGAACTTAACTTTTATTCATTCACATATCCCCAAATCTTTCTCTTTTCCCCACAGGAATCAAAAACATCTCCTATATTCTAAAGTGTTTTAGCTTCCTTCCAATGATGTGATTCTCTGAAGAGTCTTCCCCAGTCTCCCTACAGGAATCGGCACAACTGGTAACAGTCCTGAGCAGATGCTTGAGAAAGAAAGCCGCACGATTTCTCTTGATTTTATTGGGGTTCCACAGAGAATAACTGTCTCCAAGACACAGTCTTTCTTCTCAGGGCCAGGATTTAGTATCCTTGAACCAAGAGGGCTGTTCAATTCCTCTCTAAAGAAGGGTCTAACCACTTACCATCTCCCCTTCATTAGGAGCCATGTCCTTCTTGTGCTTGTCCGGTATCTTCCTTTTCTTCTCTCTACACTCCATATTCTACAGAATCTCATTTTGATTGTCTTCTGGGTCTTCAGATTCTTTTGATGAGCCTGGGATGCAGCCACTTTTTTAGAAGATCTATTCTTACCTTTTGGGGGAGGCGTCTCCAACTTTTTATGTATTTTTAGCTCAATAGAATTTCTTCTTTTACTTTCTTTTTATTACTTATCATTCATTTCTATCTTTGGAGTGAGTTTTGGCCTACTTCACCTTAGAAGTCAGCATCTTAAACTTCTTGTTTTTCTCTAATAATCCTGTTTTACTGAGCTTATTTCTATTTAAGATACTGTCGGAGAGGCTAAAACATCTTTTTAGGTCTCTTCACATTTTCAAGCATATATGATAGCTACATAGCAATCAACATACCCATTGCTTATACTTGCTTCTGGCAGGAGGACAAATGGTTTTTTCTTTGCTCATAACTGAATCATTAGGTCCCATGAATTTTGGTTGGTATTGATATCTCAGGATAGATGTTATCCTGTAATGCCTCATTTCCTTTTATTGTCTCTTGGAATAGAACTTAAAGGCTTAGCCTTAGAAATCAAATAGACCTCTGTAATACTAGGCAAGTGATTGAAATTCTTTCAGCCTCAAATTGTTGTGTAGTCTAAGAAAATGTGTGTTGAATGATTGCTATCATAGTAAATGCTCAATAAATACTACCTTTAATTATGGATGTGTTTAGTTTTGTTGGATTGTAAGTGTCTTGAACTTGGGACCTGTGTCTCCAATTTATTAAGTAATTAATTCTAAGTTTTTCATTAATGTAATAATTATGTTTAGTGATAAGAACTCCAGCATAAGAAACATATTGAAACTAAGACTGTGAGATTTGTTTTTGGTTTCTTTATGTTCCACTTCTTTATTTCCTTCAAATTGAAAGGTTGTAGTTATACTTTTTTCTCTTAATCTGACTATAAATTTTTTTGACAAGCATCACTCATTTCTAAAACTTCTTTTTGTCTCTTTTTGCTGAGTGGGTGGGGTTTGAATTACAATTTCACCAGTACTTTTAATGCTAACTGTATATCAGCATGTGTGGTAGGTTCTTGACCATATCTAGATATTTATCGCTCATAGATTAAAAAAAAACAAGTCTCAGAGAATTCAAGTGAATGGCCCAATATCATACACTTAGTAAGTGGCACCTGCAAGAATGACAAGACCTAACTATAATCAGTGAGAAAGTACTGTAAGAAGAATATGACCGGATAGTATGGATGTACAGGGACAGAGCTGTTGCTTTCTTTAGAAAAAGACAGGGAAAAGAGTCAGGAACGTCTTTGTGAAAAAAAAGAGAAAGTTAATCTATAAAATAGCCAGTCAGTCTATGAACAACTGGAGTTGACCAGTCTGAAAAAGATACTTTTCTTCTTATCACCTCTGTTCTCATTTTAATTATATATCAGTTTATGTTTATAATACCATAAATTAAAAGTACAGGAATTTTCGCTAATTAGAACATAAAATGGTAAATATGGGAAAATTGTTTCATTTAGTAGTATGTTGAGTGTATTTAGGTTTTAATATGTAAAGAATGTCTCTAATGATATTAGACACATTATCAATGTTTCAATTATAGCGCTTGTACTCTTTGACCAAGTTTAGTCACAGTCCTGATAATACAAAACTAATTTTTGAAATGCTTGATAAGTATTCCGATTCTGGGTACAAATAAATCCTCCACTTCTGAAGGCTTGGTGTGGGCTCCGATTTAGGTCTCCAATACATGTCCAGCGATCTTTAGTGCCCTTTTGGGAAATGCACCATTTGGCATGGTCCTGGTAAGAACTGAAATAAGATTGTCGAGATATCTTAATGGCTTTGATATTGTAGACATGGTAAGGAAGGGAGCAGTTTGAAGGAAGCTCTTGTCTCTTTCGCTGCCAGGTTTCTGATAGCAAGTGTGTCTTCAACTGTTGAGCCATCCAGCCTGCCAAGATGTCTAGTGTGCAGAAGGAAAGAGAGAGTGAGGTTTGTATTTACACTTAGATAAATCCCTGAAAATATCCTCGGAATGGAAATTATCATTTACTCCTGAAAGGTGGATATCACAAGCACAACAATAGCATAATTGTGATAGTAGACTATTTCTATCTCATTAATTTTTGCATCTCTAGTGCCTGACATAGGGCTTGGCAAGTAGTAGGCATTCAGTAAATTGTATGCAGGAAGGGAGGAAGCAAATAAGGAAGGAAGGAAGCAAGGAAGACAGCGAGGTCATCTAAGGCAATGGCTGGTGATGGGGAGAACTGGTGTTTATAGACAGAAGCAAGTCTACAGTGAAGGAGCACCATGCAAGCAGGTGAAGCCCTTCATGAGGTTTTTAGATGGCAATTTGGGGTAGAAAAAGGAAAAACTGCAATATAGGGAATTTATAATTGAAGGAAGGTTTTTAGGCATGTTTCCTCATGCTATGAAGAAGGAGCATGTAGAGTGGGAAACTCAAAGGAAAACAGGCAGAGAAGACCAAGTGGACAAATCAAAGTTGTTGAGTGTTCCAGAGAACAAAGGGTCCATTGCTTCTGTTGGGGTGGAAGAACAGCCAGGAAAAGGGAGTGAAGACAGATGACAATGTTGGAAGGGTGTGGGTGCAATCTCATGGTGGAATCTCCACACTGATCTTTGTTCTCTCTATTGGTGAGGGGGCAGGGTTGTTTAAAGAAGTTGAGAAGCCTCAAAATGACTTCTTAAGGGCTGAGAGAAGAGGCAACGCCTGTGGCCCCCCATAGACTGAGTGGTCCCTGGCTGTGTGGCTGTGAGATGCTTCTGTGACTGAATTAGCAAACCTGTTATTCCAGTCGAGCAGCAAATGTTTGAACTGATCCCTGATTTTCCTTTTCCCCTTTATTCCTCTTTTCTTCCTTCTTTTCTACATCGTTTCCCCCTGAATCATCAGAATATTTTTCTGTATAATTTGTAGTGAGCCCAACAGCATATAGAGAATACTGTTTTATGATGGTCTTTCATACCATTTGGAAATGAATCAGATTTTGCAAAATGGAGGAAGCTTTGTCCTTGGGCTGACTGAAGTGTGGTGAGGTGCCGGACTGGGATCTTAGATGAGCTGAAGCTGGCACAGAGCTGGGGCATGTGGATGAGCTCCTGGTGAAAGGTGATTGGGATGGAACAACTATAGATGTTTGGGTTGCAGACCAAGAGCTGAGAATCTGAATCAATAAACAATAAAGTTGAGGATTTAGACAGAAATGCTTGTTGATATTATAGATAAAACAAAACAAAATAAGACACTCTCAAACACAAGCATTCTCTTTTTTAAAAGGAATGGCCTTCACATAGTTTTTGGTTAAGGTATTTGACACCAAAATGCTTTAACTGACACCTGTTGAATATTTCCTATGTTGCAAACATTGTCTATGAGTTTTACGTGGTTAATCTTCACAGTCATCTTATTAGGTAAGTTCTGCTGTATCACTAACCTCATTTTATAGATGAATTAACTAAGACTTTATGCCACATGCTCATGGTCATAAAGCTTGTAACTGATGGAGTTAATATTCAAACTCAGATAATCTGGTCTTGGAGGCCATATGTTTTTCCTTCTATATGTACATATATAAAAGTAGAGAACTTCATGTACTGATCATCCAGTTTCAAAAATAATCAACTCATCAGCATGCATACCTTATCTTTGTGCTGTTAGCTCTCTGATTGCTACATGAACTCAACTGGGTTTGACTTAGGTGAGAGGCTCTGATCCTTGTCATAAGATGGAAATTTGATGAGAAACATTTTATAAATTTCCTGTATCTGGAGGAAAATTAGTTTTCACCACTGTTTAGCAACTTCCTCAGTACAAAAAGGATTGGTAAAACAATATTCCTACTTTTCCTCCTCCCACATCATAGTTTCCTAAATATAAGTATTTTTGGTTATTTGAGCTTGAGATCGTAAAAGAAATGTATCTGGCTCAGAGGTGTCATGTTGGCAGCATATAGGAAACATTTGGTCTGCAGAATTTTTAAAATAAGATTGAGCCTATATTTAAAAAAATCAGAATTTTACTCACACACACACACACACACACACACACACACACACACCCTAGGTTTCTGGTTCCTCATTAAAAATAGGGAGATCTATAATTAGTAGGCCTGTATTTCTGCAGAGCCACGATACACTATACTGAGGCCTTTGAGGGCATCCAGGGGAAAGTCAAAACCCCAGTTTGTTATTGTCCCCAGAGCTCATATAACATTTGTCTGTTTCACCCATTTTTGTGGTCTATCTCCTGAATTCTTTTGAAACTACTGCATCTGCCTGATCAATTTCTATAATGTAACCAGTAGAAGAGGAGCTCAGGACCAGTAAGTGAACTTGCCCAGTGCCTCCTCAGGGCAGAGTCAGTATTAGAATCTAGGTACCAGAGGTCTATGAAGAAAGTAACAAATGAAGTGACACATTTATTAATACATTTCCCAATTTCTTTTCCAACATTGCTATGTACTTTTCATATACTCGTGTTACCTATTATTTCATACTGGTTATATTTGAAAGTTATACAGATGCCACTTTGTCCATTCCGTCTTCCTGTGGATGGATAATCATAGCCTTCTTCAGGGATTGGAGGAAATTGGGGAATAGAATGAATCAGCCAGAATCCCTGGATTTTGTTCCATAGCAGTAAACCTACCAAAGATACATTTAGCATAGGTAAAGTAGAAAAAGCTCCTTTTTAAATAGAGTTCAAAGCTGTAACATTTAAGCCTATTTATGCTTTAGTGCAATATTTTATTAAACTAATTATCACAAAGATTAAGCTCCATTTAAAAAAAATTTCAAAAACCATCAGGCACACATCAAACTGCCCTATTACTGATAATAAGCCACTACAAAAGGGGAGCCAGGGCAGCCACTCTGTGAAGAGTTAAGAGGAATTTTATGTTGAAGTTTCAAGGAAGATTTGCACGCAAATTTGCTAAATTGGAATTTGACCTTGCTCAACTATACAGTCACTTGGCAAGCTTCAGACAGTGTTTTCACTACTAAATAGCTAAGCTATTTTCAAAAGTCTGATAAAAACAGAGTTAAAAACGAGAACATCAAATGGAGAAATGTACTGGTAGTACTTTGTTCTAAGAAACTGATGCTCATTTATTAAACAAGAAACACTAACCTCTACATATCTGAGGAAGAAGACAAAGAGAAAAAAAGGAAGCCATGTTAAAGTAACCTTGTTAATTAGGTTTAGAAAAATCTCTTGAGCTTACTAACATGAAAGCCAGAAAGAAAAAAAATAAAAAAGATTTTCATCGTCTTGTGACATGGCAAAAAGAGCCTTGTCCAATGGGCATTTCATCAAGACAGGTCTAGTGTGGTAGAGTTTCCAGTTTGCCCATGAACATGCAAACATAAAATTCATTCGTGTAAGTTCTGTGGCCTAACAGAGCTGGATGACCTTCAGGTGCTCCCCTCTACCCAGATGAATGTGCTATTTTGATAAAATCCCAACTGCCTGGAATGAATACCTCAGATGTTAGAGTATATATTGGCAAGGAGAACTTCCCTAACTTGATATCAAACCCCATTTTCTTTGTTCTTAAAATTTTGCAGCAATAATAGGGCAGAGTAGGAGTGGTGGTCAGAGGTTCCTGGAGGAGAGGTTGGAGAATGTGGTACATTGTAAAAATTGTTGGGTTCTGTGTAAATAGGGGCATCAGGAGGACTAAATCAAAAGCTTTCAATGCTCATGACATTTGACCCCCATTAAAATTATCTTCTTCTTAATCAGAGGCTACAAATTAGCAGCCTATGGACCAAAGGCAGCTTGTAGATATACTACTAGGCTTGCAGTGTGATTTTAGAGTTTTGAATTTATTGTGAATATTTAAAAACTGAAGAGATTTTCCACACATACTACTTTTCAGCATCTCCTGAAAAATTACACGCCATAGGCCAAAGAGCAAAATAACTGCCTCTTTTTGGCCTCCTATGGGCCCTGCAACTACCTGCCACTTTAGCCTACTTTGCTTGCTCACGTTACCCACCTTTCTCTAAAGGCATTTGAGCTTAGAATCTTCTGAAGAACACTAATTGCTATAATTACTATTACCGTATTACTGTTTATATATTAAGTGATATAGTAAGTTGAAAAGTAGTCATAATAGTCATAAAACATTTAAAAATAAATATTTTTAAAGTAGAAAAGATTAAGCATACTTAAGTAACAGGTATTAGAAATACAGATTTTTTTTGTTTACCTGAATTTTGAGTTTTTCTGTATACGTACATGTATATGCATAGATTATAAATAGGAAAATGACAAAGTTCCTATAACAAAATTACTACATATAATACTATGTAATCAAATATATAACAAAAATTACTATATGAACAAATATTTAAAAATACATTCCGAAAATGTTTATTTCAAATGGAATTGCACTTTATGAAGAGTGAATTTTACTTATATTTTTAATTCAATAAATCTAACTAAAAAGTCTATATATGTATGTTTTGCATATACATATATATGCATATATATGTAATATAGAATTGCTGGTGTATTGCAAAGTTACCTATATATGTACATGTATGTGTGTGTACCTGTATAGATTACCTGATATTCCCAGTAGTCAGAACCTGGATTTTTGCTCTAAAACGTATATGTAAAAATTAAGAAATAAAATAGGATTTCTGAGCAGGGATTGCCAAATCAAATTATGTAATTATTTTATAAGCTAGTATATAGAAATCATACTTCAATAAGCCAAAATACAACCATTAAAAACAAAAGCTATCTTTTTAGTATGGAATATGTGAATACGCAAGATGAAAGGTTTAAGAAATTGCTGATTTCTAACAGGAAAGCTGTCACCATACCTTTGGTGTGGCCAAAGTTTCTGTTGTAACCCACAGATTTAGGGGCTCCATCGTTGTATAGTAGATAGGCTGTGTTGTTACTCTGCAGGAATATATTAAGGTTATAATGGCATAAATCTCCTTAAAATGTTCACAGGGTTTCTACCAGCTGCCCAGCCTACAGTACGGAGCTTTCATTACTACATATGAGAAAACACCCATTCTCCTAACAGGCAGGTTCCTCATCAGTATGAGTGCTGTTACATGCAAGACCAAAGTAGGCTGGGGCAGGAAGACCATTCTCAACCATGGATGGTTTTGACTTCCGTGGCAGGAACCCTATGCATTGTAATCTGTGTATGAGGGCAATCTTACTATTTCTCGTTTGCTTTGCAACAAGTTTTCCCATTTAAAAACCAGTTTAGGATAAAAGAAGGTGGAATTATTTGTTCAGAAAATGGAATAGGAACAACCTGCCAAGGATTACACCTGGGCTTTTTCCATTGATACTATAGGCACAGTGCAGACAGAACCGGCTGTCAGGATCTGCCCACTGGGTACTCCACTGCCTGCTCTTGGCTTTGTATTTAATCAGAATTCCTCATTATCTGCCCCCCCCTTCCTCCATGATATGGGAGGGTTTTTGCTTCAATCCATTTCTCAATGTCAATTTACCTTTTTAACTTGATATTTTCCTGCTTAGAGAAAGTGGTGAAATTTACTGTGCTATATTGGATTTCCTCCAGTAAGGAATAATGCAGTCAATTCTCCAAACAGCTAAATATCTGAGTCAAAATGAGGCCATTAATTTGGCAGTGTCATGTTTAGGAAAAGCATTTATATTTGCTCTGGGTGGTTCCATTTCATTTGTGTCATAATGCAGTGACTTTTATTGAAGCCAATAATGTTGATATTAACAAAAAATCTCAGTGACATAATGAAAGCAGAAAAGGACAACCCATCTCCTTAAAAAGCCCTTTCTTTTTTCTCAGAAAAGGTCAATTATGAGTCTCCTGCAGTTACTTATTTGATATTATCTAAAAAGATTTTTAAAATGCACAACATAATCTGTGTAGCATTCTTGGCTGTTGTGCTCAGGCATAGTCAGAAAAGTTAGCTGTTTTCTTACCCTTGTTTTCCATACAGAGTGGTATTTTTACCATCCTTCCCTGAAGCACTCTGACAGTTATTCTATGAGCTGACATCGAATGTGATAATGAGGCTATTTGTGTGGTTTTAGGGTAAAATGAGGAGGGACTTTGGGAGGATTTGATGAGGATTTTTATTTTTATAAAAGATGAATTTTTAAAAATTTTAAAGCCAAGATTAAATGATTTGTGGTGTTGGTAGGAAGAAAGGCTATTGATAAAGGAAAAAGATCATGGACTTAAAATAGGTGTGTTTCTTTGGACTGCTTTATTCTTTTAACACAAATGTCAAGTATTGTTTTGACTATTGGATGTTGGAAAAAAATGGACACGTCTCTGACCTTAGTCTAGCAGGAAATGTATCAGGAAAGCATAGGCAACTTCAATACAGTTTGAGCATTATTATCTCAGCATTATTATGGTGTGTGTGTGTGGGGGTTCTTATTTGGAAAAGCAAAAGAAAAGAAATAATTCCAACATAACCTAGCTATTCACTTTGGTTGTCTTGACATTTGAGATTTAAAATTAGTTGGTCTGATCTTGCATTCTGCTCTTATAAGTTCAATTCTAGGTCAGGGACTGGGAAAATTATGTTCTTATGGTCATTTCTGACACGGAGTTCCAGCTTCCAAAGAACACTCAATCTCACTGAGGTATCACACATTGCTCTCTTATGTTGCTCATCAGACATGGAAGCCAGTCCTTTTTCTGTCATTTTCTTCCCAGAGCCAATTATTCAAGGCATTGTGTGAAGAGGTTTTATTGAAGGTAAGGAACATTGAATGATTTTACATCATGATGTTCCTACCTCGATCTCCTAATTTCCCTCTGTTCTTCACACTTTTTAATTTCCTGCTTTTTTCCACCTATTTTTTTAATTTCGGAAAGCAGTTTAGCTCTTCCTCTCTCCTAGGCTTTGGGGCTACCTTTGCACCTCCTGCGATAATTATTGGATTCTGCCAAACCAAGAACAATGTACATCAACTAAGGTGAATGACACAGCCTTGATAATGTTCCTTTTTCCCTTTCCTGCCCCAGCAGCTCCATGAGGGGGGAAAGAAACATCATGGGCATTTATTTTCTCGCTAATGGGTTGTGCTCCTGGTCTGAGTTCCTAGACTTGGAAAACAGAAGCAGCCGCAGGCAGTTTTCATTTTACATAATGGTCTGTGTGTTGAAAACAGGGTTGTTGTTGTTGAGATTAAATAATTTTTAAAAGTACCTCAAATTGTACTTTGGCACATCAGATGTCTTCAAACAGCTTACAAAGTCATTTAAAATTTGTAATTTCACTCTGAAGGGTGCTCTTAATGCAGGTGAATAAAATGAGTATTATCACATGCAGTGACAGCTCCCTGCTCATTTTGAGTAAATATTCAGATACACATATACAGTAGTGCTAGAGGCTAAAACAGTCTTGTAATGAGCATTAAATTATTTGACATATGTAAAAGCCCGGCACTTTATGGGAACAGCATCATTTTATATATTTGCTTCCCTGTAAGTTATTGTTAGGAAACACATGGATGAGTGTAAGTGGATGTTAATTATTGCTTGATTTTACTCATTACCCCACGTTGGAAAGCAATCACTGTATGACAGATGGAAGCTGGAATGTTGGGAGGCTGCCCACACTGAGCCAGCAGGCCTGCTCAACCTTTGTCTCCGCCTGGTTAGCTCATTGCCTGATGAGTCCTGATAGCCGGTTTCATTTCCATTCAGGCAAGTTAGTTCTAGGTCCTTGAAACTAGAGCCTTAGGTATCAGCCTACCATTTTGAAAATGATTAAAAGGAAGACCCATTGGAACTCCACTTGGATTGCTACCACTCACGAGCACCATGACATAGACAACCCATGATTCATGGCATCTTGATCACAGGTCTATATTGCCTTTTAGCAGGAGGGGGGTTTCTCCCTCTTTCTGTCAGGTGGATGAGCTAGCAAGTACTAAGTGAATTGGCAGAAGTTTTGGCAGCCAGAAGACTTCAATACGCAAGTAGTTTGTACCTTGCCCAGTGATATCACTGGACAATGCCAAGTGAACTAAGAACTTGATGCCATATTTCTGAAGGTCTTGTCCAGGTTGATTCAGTTAGTTGTCCTAGATTGTTTGTGAGCTTGTTTACTTCAAGTTGCTGGGATTGGGGGATGGGGGGATTGGGTGGATGAATAGGAAAATATCTTCCAAAATTGCTTTCTGGAAGTTTTAGATTCTGCTTTATGCATATTTCTATGATTCAAATGAATGGTAAACTGTAACTCACCTTGGAAGCATAGGCTTCATACAGCTGTTGTAAAGTCCTTCCCAAAGCACTTTTGGTGGCATTTATTAGCTGCTCACTCCTCCTCCAGCTTCCAATTGTGGAGTCTAGGTAAAGATACTCTAGCCCAGTCTCTCCACTCTCCTTGTCTTGCCTTTTAGGTAACTTATAGAAAATAAACCTGATAGAAGAAATAATTATGAATTACTGTCATTTATCAACTGCTTTCCTGGTGGCTGTCCCTGGGCTAAGCACTGAAGTATATCTTTCACTTATGTTGACAGAAGACCTTTAAGGAAGGGGATTTGGTCAAGATTTCTGCCCCTTTCTATACCTTTTTCTTGCTCCTCCTCAGAAAAAGAAATGTGACTCTGACTAGACATGTTCTATGACATTAGCTGGTCTGGTGACTGGGGACCCTGAGGTAGAAGTCCTTAGACACTGGTTTTGCAGTCCTTATGGCTGTAGTGGGGAGAAGGCCATGATTGAGATGGGCATTGGAGAAGTCTTTGATCCTCTTCTGCTATAAATGCTGCTATTTTCATGTCTTTGCAGCTGGCTAGCTGGGTATGAGATTTGGGAATTTAGGGAGATGGGGGCTTCCTTGAGCTTCTAGCTGGTCTAAACCACGTTCCTTATCTCAGTTTAGCAGAATGCATTGAGGATTTGGACCCAAGACCAACTAATTAAATAGATCTTTTGTTTCCTTTTCTATTATTTCCAGTTTGTATATCTCATTTGGGTGTCTCACAGGTAGGTGGGCCCACAGAGTATTCACGCAGTCTTAGATCTCTTATCCTAGAGTTTCTCAATATGCTCCACCCATCTTTTGAGACAGGTCATTCATTGTTGTGGGAGTTGTTCTATGCATCTTAGGACCCTCAGCCTCTACCTATTAGATGCCAGTAGTACGCCCAAGGTGTTACAGTCAAAAATGTCTCCAGACCTTTTCACAACTACCTTGAGGGCAAAATTGCCCCCAGGTGACAGCTATTTGTGGGGCCAAATATTTTCTAATAGCATGAACCCCCATAATTAACCCTTAAACACTCACCATGAACCAAACTTTATATTATGGAATAACACTTCCCCCAAGAACTTCACATCACGCTTGGAAGTCTTACACTTCTATTCAAGAGAACTTTCCCTGCCCTGGTTACATTCTGTGACTCACAGGGCCGGGTCCTCACATGAGGAAGAAACAGGCTTGTTTGCTGACTTGATGGTCTCTGCTTTCTGACTCTCTTAGTAGACGGCAGCAATTAAGTAACAAGTTGCTTATGTATTCTGCTGGATGTTCAGTTGTGGGAAAAGTAAACTTTACATATTAATCACTGTTGGGTGATCCACCAGTGAAGCCTTTGTGAGCCAGTGTGCCTTTGCTCACTACATGAGAACTAGAACTGTTAAACATGTTTCCTGGGTGACTATCTCCAATTATATAGTTTCTATTTCGAGCTCAGACTGCTCTGTAGAGATCCAGATAAAACTAAACAAAAATCCTTCTCAGAAACCTGAAAGTCTGCATTTTTGAAACCAAGTTTATAGTATTTTCCTCCACATCTGCTCATCCTATAGTATTAGATAGCGTAATCACACAGCCACAGAAGCCAGAAACCTAAAAGTCTTCTTTCACTCCCAGCAGTCCACTCACCACGAGGTGCTCTCAGAGTATTCCTTTTTTTCTGTTTCCGTTGCTACCTCTTTAGCTCAGGTCTACATGTCTTCTTGCTTGCAGTCCTACAGAATTCTGATTGCTATCCATGGCTCCAGGTGGGTCAGCTTCAATCTAGCCTTTACAGTACAGCTAAAGGGCTTCCTAAGAAACAAATCTGACATTACCTCATTCTTTCTTGAGGCTCTTCAATAGATCCTTTTCAACGTCAAGTCAAATCTTTCAGCTCAGCACATGGAGTCCTTTATGACCTGGCCCTTGCCTACCTTCCTACCCTCATCTCCTGTTATTTTCCCACATGGCTTGGAGGCTCCTACAATACCAAAGCACGCACATGTCCAAACTTTCTGTGTTGCTTCTGGCTTCTGTACTACCTCATTGCTCCTTTACCGGCCCAAGAAGCCCTTGCATCTCTTTTCTTAGCTATTTCATTATTTTTCTTAAAACTTAGCTCAAACACTGTTTCTTTGAAGAAGCCTTGTTGGCGCTATGCTTCTCCATGCCTGACTCATGGCCTTATCACATATCTGGGAACTCCTTGAGGGTAGTGTGTGTGTGTGTTGGGGTGTGTGTGTGTGTGTGTGTTTTATATTTATATCTCAAAACTCAGGACAAGGCCTGGTAGAAGCTCTGAAACTGCTAGAAAATAGTCTGAGTGACTTACCTGTTTCTTTAGCCTGAAGTTCACACAAAGCTTGATGCTAACTATAACGGCAAACCTAAACACCCTAATTAAAGAGTGAAAAAGGAATGAGAGCTTTAGGAGAATCTATGACTACAATGCAACACTGTGTTTAGTCTCTTTGACACAAGAGGCCAGTGACTTTCTACCCTATTCCAACCCCTGCTTGTGCTACCTAACAAACCAAGGTTAAACAAATAGTGCTGTGTATGATCACGTCCTCTTTGTCCCCATAAAAAGGGCATTCTCCAGTTCCAGAAAAAGGTCATTTGCCTCCTCTCCCTTAGCAGACATAAAAAGGGATGCTGAAAAGTTTCTGTTCGGAAAAGCCACATTTAATTAAAGAAAATTGCCAACTGGCCAAAGTTGTGAGCTCAGTTCCACTTCTATGGCTGCCAGCTTTGCCCTCCTGAGGACAGGATCACATCCAAGAGGGGCTGCTCAGTCCTCCTCAGGTGGAAACACTCCCACTCAGAGCCAACCCTGTCTGAGGCATAGCCCATTTCCATACTTTCCGTCTCTTTCTTTTAAAGGGAGGAAACAACTCAGAAGTTCTTCTGAGGAAACTCGCAGCCAGACAGTCTGCCTCCCATACTCTGGCTTTCTGTTCGCATATTCCAATCCTTACAGTTCATTTACCTACCAATCCACGGCGTCACCGTCTTCATTTCTGCATGCTATTGTTGCCGCCTCCAGGACTCCAAAGAGGCCAAAGAAGACCAAACCAATAGTTGTTCTTTGAAGTCTTGCCGTCATTTTCTATCTGTTTCCTTTATTCTAAGCCACAGCAGGCAACTTTCCCTAGAGAGTTTATGAAGACTGAGTTTCAAGTCTCTCTCAGACTGGCACTGGCATTTGATTCCATTTGCCTCTGCTGTTTGTTGTTCGGGAATTTTCAAAATGGGATGAATCCCACGTAATCCTGTGATTCTGTCACAAGATCCCAGCGTGACTCCGGATGTCTTTGTGCTGCATAGTTGACTGTTTTTGCAAAGTCATCAAAAAGTTCTGGAGAGAAAAAGGGATGTGCGTGTGTGTGTGTGCATGTGCGCGCAACTGATTGTGTGTGTAAGATTTTTGTGTGTGTTCATATAATTCTTTATAGTGAACATGATGTGTGATGTTTGGTGGAGAGGGGAACTCCATCTTATAAGCAGATGTTGAATTAAATATATTTCATGTTTTTCCCTTCTGATTGACCATGAGTGAGAGCAAATACAATAATTCATGCCTTAAATAAAAATGGCAAAGCCTTATGGTTTAATTATAATTAGGATCTGTCACATAATAATCTCTAACTTAAGGGAATAATTGTGAAACAGTACTTTAAGGAGTTGCAAGTAGGAGCAAATTTGATTGTATTTTTACCAGAAATGTTGACATATCTTTTCTGTCTCCCTGGTTTGGGCCACTCTATGTGGTGCTTTAAAAAGACCTTGGTGTCTGATTGGCTGCTATACAATCAGGTAAACATATTGACCACTTACTCTTCCAGTTAAATAAAAAACTTCACAAGCTTCTGCTTTGTCCAAACTATTCTTTTTCATTCTTGAAACGGAATCTGAAGTTGAAGACCAAGGGAACATGGTCCTTTACTCTAACATCTATGAAAAGGTGAGATTCAGCCCTTATTGGAAAAAGGAAGGAGTAGGTAAACATTTGCAAAGAATTTCCTTGAATTCTTGGCTCTTGAATTGAGTATTAAAGATTCTGTCATAAGGAATAGCAGTTAACCTCATGCCTGGAAATCCTGATGGCTCTAATCTGTCCCTTTGATAAAGGAGCCAGATCAGTGTCATGTCAGGGTCCACGCTAAAGCAGACCCTTGCAAATCAGATCACTGCTACAGTCCAGCTATCACTGTTCAGGATTCTGAACTTGTAGAAAAGGGAGGGTGTATGGGTCTATTTCTCCTTCAACAGACTTTCATGAAGAATACTCCAGACTACCTGCCCACGTTACCTTTGGCACCTGCAAAAAATTGGCAGAATTCTGGGCGTCATTTCAAACCTGCTAAATTATAATTGTTCCAGTTGAGCCCAGGAATCTACATTTTAAATAAGCTTATTGGTAATGTTGGTGCACCCTAGATGTCTAAAGTAGTTGCCCTGAGGCCCAGGCTGTGTGGTATCTGGTAGCTTCACAGCTTCCCACAGGGTGCAGACCAAATTAACTAAACCAGGAAACATTTCTCTTATCACTTTTCCATGTGTATCATTTTGTTTTATACAGGATTTTTTGTTTGTTTTCATTTTTTTTGGTACCAGGGATCGAACTCGGGACCTTGCGCTTGCGAGGCAGGTGGCAGAACCACTGAGCTAAATCCTCGGCCCTATACAGGGCTTTTTTTTTTTTCTCTATTTGGGAAAATGATTTCAATTACTCCAAACAATAAGACAAATTTGTGGCATGAAGTTTATGTTTCTACGTTAAAGTGAAATACAATTGATTTTACTTATTTATTTTAGCTTGTGAAACTTTTTGGTATCATACTGGTAATAACTGAACACAGCAGGCATAGGATTCATTGATGCATTTAGAGAAAATAAGCAACTTGTTTCAGTTACAAAAGCTAAAGACAGTTCGTTGAATAGGATATAAAATAATTCCTGTTTTCTTCTGCTCATTACATTCACAGCAGATTGCTTGGTGATAGTAGAGGATCTTTAAGTGTTAGTTGTGATTATTCTTACATTTCTGTAAGGTGAAGTGGAGCACGTCTACATTAGGACAGTGTGTGCTAACTCTAGTTTTATTTCAAGGTCTGGAAAGACTATTAGGTTGGTTTCTTTCAGATTTCACTTTCATCGTACCTTCTGTCCCTAATGACCCAATCATGCTGTTTTTCAGTCAACCACCTTCCTTATACAGTCACTATTGTGTAGAACACTGTAGGAGACACCGAGGGTCTCCAAAGACTTCAGTGTGACCCTACAGGTGAGATTCAAGTGTGTTTCTATTTTTATTAAAAACAACAAAATAATGTTATGGAAGGAACTCACAAATTTGGTGAATGAAGAAATGCAAATGGGACAGAATGTTTTTCCTGGTATTCCTGCTTTTGAAACCCTAGTATAAAAGTATGAAAATACTGTACCATAGCTCTTTCAAAATTACTTCTTAAAAGAGGAGAAAAAAGCTTCATTGTAACTTGGCCACCTACAACAAGGAATTCTTCACCTGGTAATGGCTTCTGACTTTATGGCTGAAAGTTCGCTTTCATTCACCCAGAAATTCTGGAAAATCTGTCTTGAACTCTTCAGATAGTACCTTTTCCCCATTCTCTTTATCACATCTTGCTGGTACTGTACATTGTATACCTCTTTCACTTATTCCAGCTCTTTGTGTGTCTATCTTCATTAGTATTGATTCCTTACCCGCAACCATCTTCCAGTTTTCTAATTGTCTCTTCCAGAACATTCACCTGTTACTTATTCTATATCTTTCAGATACTGTAACTAATTCTTTCTTGAGTTGTATGCTTAAACTGTATCTTAACCCACTCATAAGTACATTTGTAGAAATTTTGGTATTTTTTCCACATTTACTTATCTTTTTTATGGACTCTTGTTTCTTGCCCATACACTCAATCTTTTCTTTTATTTTTGTCAAAATATTAAATATGTTATTTTTGTATTTTGCATCCAATTCCAATAGCTAAAGTCTTTGTGGATTTGAATTTGCTATTGTTTCTGCAACTCTTTCTCATGATATCTTGCTATTGTGCTATACTTGAGTTTTGTCTGTAAATTCATGTTCCTTGAAGTGTTACGGTTAAACCTTTTGAGATTAGGATAAAGTTGGGTTTTTGTAGACCCCGCGCTACATGGGTGTCATCAAAAGTTCAGTTATCCTTGAGGACTCCCAGGAGGCAGGCTTTGGGCTTTATTTATTTATTTTGGTTGCTTTTTGAAGTATGATTTACATACCATAAATTTATTTGTTTCAATCTAGCTTTATTTTTGTCAGACTTTTACAAGACTGTTGAAGAACTGAGTAAAATCTAGACTGTGACAGATGGAAGGCAAAGGTTGATGTACTTGTGAGAGGAAAGGGAGAGAATTTGAATTATTTTGATAAAAAGAGGTGAGAGGTAAATATAGAGAAAGGAACTGCTTATGAGAAACACGGTTAATGGAAAACATGAGTAGAATAGTGAGAGAGGGCTGGAAAACTGTATTTGTTTAATTTTAATGAGTGTTCCATGTCGCTTCTGGAAGCTATCCTTGCTCTCTCCCAATCTGCCTCAGGTCTCACTATATGAGCTCAATTAGAATAATTAGCACTATGTGTTACTAATTAGTTGATTCCTTTTCTGAGTTTTCCTGAGAGTAGTAGTCAGTAAACTAGTAAACACCTGTGGGCCAAATCTGGCCCACAGCCGATTTTTTTTAAAATTTATTTTTATTTTTGGGGTACTGGGGATCAAACTCGGGTCCTTGTGCTTGCACAGCAGGCAACGAAACCACTGAGCTAAATCCCTGGCCCTACAGCCGATTTTTATAAATAAAGTTTTATTAGATCACAGCCAGAACCATTCATTGATGTATTATGTATAGCTGCTTTTTAAGTTTTAATGGCAGAGTTGAGTAATTGAAACAAAGACCCTATAGACAGTCTGAAAAGCCTGAAATATTAACTATTTGATTTCTCTACAGAAGTTTGTTGTAGGGAGTAATCTCTGCAAGGGCAGAGAAGTGTCTGTCTGGTTTACTGTTTGTCCCTGGACATAGCCCAGCACTTGCCATCTAGGTGATGGATTGCACGAAAGAGGTGTCAGAGACTTCTCTGTGGGGTTCTGCAGAATTTAGAATGAATTAAATCTAGTCAGAGATATAAACAAAAGCAAGTATGTAATAAGTAATACCCTATTATAATTGTTGTGTCCGGGAAGTGGCTACAGTGAAAAGAACCAGGCCGACCTAAGTTCTGTGCCTGCCCCTCCTCTCACCAGCCATGTGTGGTCTTCACAGAGTTTTAGCTTCCTTTTCTGAACAACAATCTCTACAAAGACCTCTCAGGGCTCAGTGGGGTGCAATGTGCCTAGCCCTGGCGTCTAACTGGTGCCATTTGATGCTGGTTCCTTCCAGCTTTGTTTCCATTTCTTCCACGACAAAGTTATTTCCTTTTCCCTTCAGATAGACTAAAAGCAGTGCTTTTGTGACATGGTTTTAAATGGCCACAAACAAGCCCACATTATGTATGATTTCAAGGGTCTTTCTCCAGATAAAGTCAATGTTGAACTCAATGAGTACCCTATTGCTAAAGACATGAAGCAGAACTTTCTATTTTTTTTTGAGTTAGGAAGGGTTAATGTTTTAAAAAATTTATTTTATTGGTGCACTTTAGATAAATGTAATGATCACATTCATCATAGGGAATTTGTACCTGTGCATAACACATTCTTTTTTCCCCAATTCCCCCCCCTCCCTTCAACCCCTCTTCCCCTACTTATTTACAAAAGCTTTGTTTCTATTTTTCCCTTCTTCTTTTTTTTGGTACCGGGGATCGAACTTGGGACCTTGCGCTTGCAAGGCAGGCGCCGGAACCACTGAGCTAAATCCCTGGCCCTATTTTTCCCTTCTATTGTCTTTTTCTCTTCTCTCCTCCTTCCTTTCTCCCATCTCCCTTCCTTGTTCCCTTTCCCATTTGAACATTTTCTTCCTATTTCCCAATATCTATGAAACAGTTTTGTCCTTATTTACCTTTTTGGTTTTTCACATCACAGAAACAATATGATATTTAAATGTGTGTTTGATTTATTTCATTTAAGAGTATGATCTCAAGGTATATCCATTTACCTAGAAATTTCTCAAGTTTATCCTTTTCCATGGCTGAGTAGTACTCCATTGTATAAAAACACCATATCTTTATCTATTCATCTGTTGATAGGCATTTGGACTGTTTCCAAGATTTAGCTATTACAAATTGTGCTGCTATAAATACAGGTGTG